CCGTGGCAGCCATATTGCGAAATTTGGTTGCATACAACCGGTACTTGCCTCTCCCAGGAAGGCAACAGTAAATTCGTATAGCTACCTTTATTGCTGGCATAATAAACTCCATTAATTAAAGACACGCAATCAAACCTGTATGTATGCATACAAACATATTTATCTGCTTAGTCTTTTTGCACTAAACTATTGCTTATTGGTTTTATATTGGTTGGGGACATTAAACTTAAAATATGTTGTACTTTACTTTAAAGTGGAATTTGTATATTCGCCTTTTACATTGTCTGTCAATAAAGTTTCTTTAATTTTTGAAAGTTATTCATATTTTTATCATGGTCTGGATGTTTGTATCTCTTTTTTTCTGCAAAACTGCATAAGTAGTCGAACCCAATTGATTTCAAGAAAGTAGAAAAATATGGCTTACTAAAAGCTGCTAGTACAACAAGCAATTCAAGTACAAACTTGAAAATCAGAACCAAATAGGAAATATGGGTATTGACATGATGGGGTTTGTGCTCGCGGGAACTTATACCGCTTATGGAGCTGTACACGCCATGGATAATGGTAATTCAACGTTGGCATTTTCTTATTTTTATTATATTATTCCCTTCTTTTACAGGTTCTTTTATACAATTAGGCGTAAGCGTTGTACTTGGTGGTGTGCTGGGCTATGGCGCCTATCTAAATTCGATAGATCCACCGCGTCCTCTGTTTCAATTATCTACCGAGCTTTTGATGACCGGTATAATGGGTACCCGTTATAGTTTGACGGGCGAAGTTAACGATGGTACATTATTTTTGGCTACAGCTGCTTCAGCTTTATACAACTCGTATACTTATACTAAATATTTAGAACGACAAATCGATATTAATGATTTCTTGGGAAGGAACAGCCAAACAAAAATTTCAATTGAAATACCAGATTTGCGCGCACACTTGAAACAGTGAAATTTAAAGGAAAAATGCTATTGCTAGCTGCTATTTGAACTATTTTAAATGTTCTTTGACTAGCTATTGAAATGGACTGAAGCGGTTTTGTTTGTAAGAAATTCACTTGTGATAAATATTGTGCAATTGTAAACGGGATGGAGTGTTTAGGATATCGGTATTCCAGCAGCTCTTTAGCTTTTTAAAGAATTTTGCGTCAACCGTTTGTCCTAGTGCAGAAATCTTCTGATTAAGATTGACTCCGTATAATAATATTTTACCTACGTTTTTAAATAATATGAATGTACATATGTCTGTTCGTTGAGAAAAATGCAATACAATAAATCATATTTACATAGTATAAGCAAGTTTTATTTTCAACAAATATTTTGTTTTCACAATCTCTAAATTTATGATTTTCACAATTGTTTCGCATTTAACTACAATAAAGTTTTATTTAAAGTATTTAGCTAAATATATGTATTTATATTAAAAAACATCTTTTTTGCGCTTTTTACATACTTTGCACTTGCATTTATACATCGCAAATTATGTTTAAAATGTTTTTACTTAGTGTATTTTGTTTAAAAATGCAAAATTTTTATTATTATAAAACATGTATTTTCGATTTTTTTTTTTAAATAATGTCAAATTTTGCGGCATACTATGTACATGCTATGTGCATACATAACTAAGTTAATTTTACAAAATATGAGTTATCAAAATGCGCTCAAAACTATTACATATTTAGCTAATTTACGTAATTTATAAATTTGCTTTCGTGTTCATACTAATGCACTACGGCATTCTACATTTTTAACAAATAAACAAAAAAACAAAATTTATTTAAAAAATACAATTAAATTAAATAAAATTATTCATTAAAATACATATACAAATGAGTATACTAACATATGTATGTATACATGGACATGTTTTTTTATAACTAAAACCTAAAACAATATAAATTCTAACTATGCTCGCTCTTTTATGTTAACGCATGTGTGTATGAGTGTAAAATTTAAATACGGATGCTCACAAGTGTGGTTGTAGTATTTGATCAATGCCTTATCTACGTACGATACACGGTTGAGTTTAAACTTTAATTTAGGCTGTGTATGGACTTGTGCTTGCATAAACGAAAATTTTAAAAAATGTTTTGTAATGCAATATGTACGAGTAAATATTTATGGATGATTTAATGGATTTATGTTTTGGCAGGCTTTGTTTTCACACCTTTTTAAACTATGTATGTATGCATATCTTAAGTTTCCATTAAATGTATGTTTGTATGTAATGTATATGCAAAACTTCAAAATGGCGATGAGTTGTATTTTCTATGCTGCTGCTAATTAATTTCCTGATTTCATTCGTCTGTTCGTTCGGCTATTCAATGTTGTTATTTTAGTTCTGTTACCGCTGCTACAATCGCCATTTGCTGCTACACTCGTTTTGCTGTGTTCCATGTTTCTCCTTGGTATGGTTTAAAAATCAGGTCACCAGATCGTTGATAGAGCAAAGCAATTAATTAACATCAAAACGCATGGCCACATTTTCGATTTGTCAGCAACGGAACTAAATTAGATTTTGTTCTTCAAAAAGGAAACGCCTTCCAGTTAACCACTGCACAGCATCAGAAAAAAATGAAACGGACATAATTAGTAAACGATATTAACATAGGGTGGTATGTATGAAAAGAGATCGAAAATTTGTAGAATGTGTAAAATGTGTAATGTGTAGGGTGTAACTAAAAAAATTATAAAAATTACGGAAATAATAAAAAATACGTGGGAAAAAAATGTAAAGTATGTAATAAAAACAGTAAATAGTAAACGTTTAAGTATAGATTAAAATTAATGTGAATTCCATTGTATGTGTTATAAGAAAAGCCAACTAATAACGCCAGAACCTTTTCATTCTGTGGATTTGGTAAATATTTGCACGAAACTATTTATATATAACCATATCTTTGGTGATGATGTGTAATGTGTATTGGCCGCCACTGCCATGTGAAATTTCGTAGCAGAATGATGTAGACTTTAATTGAAAATTTAATTTTGTAAATTAAAATTCAAATATTTTTATGCTTTATATGTATGTTAATTTGATTGCGGATTTTTTTTTTTTGTATTTCTACTAATATTATATGGAAAAAAGGTGTCGATGAATTTGTATCCATAATTATAATTATCATCTTGTGTGCTTATTGCTTATACTTCTCCTTAGCGTTGTATTTAAAATACGCGTTTTCCAAATCCCTGTGTTGTGGGCTTACTGTATTCATAGCAGTAAGTAGTATTCCAACTAATCTGGTTAATCTGCGTAAATAAATGCATACTACATGCTAAAATACTCCATACACCTGCTGCTGTTGTACTCGTTGCTGTACCTTTTCATAAGAATTTACTAAAAATGCATATTCAAAATGTCCAATTGAAAATACATATGTATGTATGTATGCAAATATATTTAATGGATGGAGGCATCTTATGTTGTGAAATTTTCCATTTTATGTTATACCAATAAATGTGCTCAAATGTATTGTTTCATAAATTGTATGCACTAAGAATGTATGGGCGTATTTTTGTTTTACTGCTAACTACTGATATTTTTTATTCCCTTGAAATGTTTAACATTCAATGCTTTTATTTTTGTATGGATTAATTTTGAAATGCAATTCATGGCAGAATATTAGGGGACGTGGATGTATGTATGTTGGTGTTGTATTTTATGCTGTTTATTATTGTAGCGTAGCATTGTGACCTTTTGTTGTTGTAATTGATGGAAATAGTGGCAGAGTTGTTGTCGTGAAGGTGTAAATGCATAGGTGAGCGTGTATGTTTAAATTTGTCAATTTAAGTATTCTTTGTACTGTATGCAATTTCTTTTCATTTGGGTGAGGCTGTATTTCAAACGGATGTTTAGCGAATGTAGAGCGGAATGTATGAAGATGACACAGTAGGCGGAAGAACGTTTGAGAAGTACGAAGATGTGCTAACTTGTGAATTTGCTATATAAATTAAGTTTTAAACAAAGTAAAAGTTGTGAAAAGTGATAACCTACAGTGCTTATGTACATATGTTGTTGGCGTTTGTGTGAACATTGGTAATGCCAACGATTTTGCGTAATTTCGCGTTTGTGCCGCAGCTGCTAGCTGTGTATGTGTAGAAAGTTGTTTGAGAAATTTTGTTGCTGCTGTTTAAAATAACAAGTACCATGATTTTGCATGTGCCTTTATATACATACATATGTGTGTATACATGCCTTTCGCATTTTTATTTGAAAAATCGTGAAAAGTGTAGTGTTTATTAAAATTCTTGCATTAGTGCATGCATGCGCCGCCATATTGGCTAGATTCGCACTCGTTATTTGCGCAACTCAGCCACAACAACGAACTGCCAAGATGGCAGCTAAATGCTTAAGCTGTGCATAGATTTGTGAAATTTGAATATTTAGGTGTCTTTTTAATTTAATATATGGAATTTCGAGAAGAACGTGATGAAATCAGGTGAGTTTTGAATTGAAGTTTTTTTTTTTTTTAACCAAATACAAATTCTAAATAAATTTATATACCAACAGCTGATGTTGTTTATGTGGTACTAATGCATTTCTCGTGTCAATATAAAATGAAAATATGCATACGTTAAATGTCCGTGAAGGATTTCAAACATGAGCCAACTCAATCTTGTTTCGATTGAGCATTTTTTTTTCAAGACTAATTTAAAATGACATTCAAGCAATAAATGGATTACAAATGAAGATGAGAAAAGATAATAAGTAAATCGCTTTTAGTTATTGTTTAAATATATGTATGACTTCCAATAGGCAGAAAAAAGAGTTTGAAAGAAGAGAGCAATGAATCAATGAGTTTGCAAAAGAACCAAATACGAGTATTTCCATAAAAAATGATAATTTCATGCGAGTGAATTTTCAAATTGAGCGTTTTGCAAGTGTTAAAGTGTGCATGTATGTATGTGCCCTTGATGTGGTTCTCGTTATGGGAATAAGATTTAAAAAACGTATTTTAATAATGTTACGCTCATTAAAAATTTAATCAAAAATATTTTGTTTGTTAAAGATGACAAAATAAAAGGTGGGGCTGTTGTACTACGCAGTCAACTGTAAGAAAATATTAAAACGTATGGAATGCAAAGTCCTTTTACCATATACCAGGCAATCGTTTCGTTTGCATTTTTTGGCGTACTTTGTCTTTCGACTTTGTTAATTAGGCTTTTTTTATTCTATGTATTTCCTAGCTTTAAGCAGCAACCGCATTTTTAACCATAGCCGTCAGCAAAAACCAGTACGCTACTTTCTCAAATATCCACCTACAATTAGTGTTGCGCGCGCAAAATTACCATTTCCAAGATTAGAGGGTGCAAATGAACTTCAGCTTGATTTTTTTTAGGTTAGCTTGCATTATTTTTTACGTAAGTATAGCAGCAAATGCGCATTAACAGGCCACCCCTATGCAAATTTTTTACTCTTTATTCAGCACCATTGCGACAACGCACTAACTAATATGCATGCATCGTTAAGTAACGCTACAAAAATCCATGCTCAATTTGGTTATTTTTTATGCAGGCAAGTAAGTTTATTTAGAGGCTTAACTTCATTTTTAAAGCATATGCGAAGCATTCCGTTAACTCATGTTATATCTATTCCGTTACATTCCTTGAGCATTATACTTTTTTGTTTTAAATTTTAGTTAGAGATTACTAAATTTCTTGAAGGCCGCAAGTACTATTGTGGGTTTAATTAGATATTTTCTTTTCGCTTACCGCGTATTTATAGGTGCGAAACGAAAGTTTGTTGTTGTCTTTGAATGATAGAGTATGAACATTGGATTTTTTGCTTCTTATTTTCCGCAGAAAGTGAAATTGATTTTATGTGCAATTTAGCTGTTTCTTCAGCACACCAGCTGAATGTCAATAACAGCTGACATTACCTGCCGTTAGGTAGAGTAGTGTGTAATGATTGATGGCTTAATGTAACGGTATTTAGACAAGTTGAATACATATACATATGTATGTATGAAGTGGTCGAGAAATGAAATCCTTTTTTCTTCCTTTTAACGCTAAATGTATAAATAAAAGTACAAACTATTTTTTTGCCCATTGCGTTCACTCACACGCTCAAGTGCAAAACGCATGCACAACTTGTTTTTTTTACAGAATACGCGTAATGCTCTCATTTAATTTGTGTGCGCAATAATTGACGACGTATTAATTTTTGTGTTTTAACTTTATGTGCTTTTTGCTGTTGAAGTGGTGATTGTGATTGTTGGTGATTGGGTTGTGAGGATGTTGTAGCTGTTGTTGCTGCTGTTTTGGTTGATGATGACTGTTGTTCGTGTTCTTGCCGTTCTAGCAATCGCAATCGCGGCAAATTGTTTGTATTATCGCCTAAATAATTTGTTACGTAAGCAGGCTGTTGTGTTGTGGTCGTAATACGCAGCAATTCCCCCACATTTCTCACAACATGTTGCTCTTGTTCATTTTCATTTTCGTTATCATTACCATATTCAGTTTGTTCTTGATTGTATGTTGGGGCAGCATTGTGGTTTGAAATGCGTGTTAGTTTTTTGTGATTTCTACTTTGTTTGTTGTTGTTGATGTTGTTGTTCTTCTTGCTACTACTAATACCATGCTTATCATTACTGTTGCTACCAACACTACTACCATCGACACTACTACTTCTACTATTCGAATTTGAAATTTGCGTACGCTTGAGAAAATGGCTGCCAAATGTGTCCGTTTGTCTACGCTTCTCCGTTTCGCTCTCGATCGTTCCTTGCTTTGGCTCTGCTTTGCCAACGGTAGCGCCGCCTATCACACTCGACGTCGACATAGTTGTACTCGTTGTCGTGGCCGTTACGCTTGCTCTTGCATCCGCTGGCGTATTTAGCGCTTGTAATTTTTTCAAGTATGCATCAATAAATGTGGCAGGTCGTTGCAGCGCGTTGATGCTGCCGCCACTGTTACTACTATTGGTGGTGCTGCTGCGCGTGAGTGCGGACGGTGGCGGCGATTGTTGTGTGTGTTGTTGTGGTTGTTGTTTTTGTGCATTTACGCTCACTGTTGTTGCTGTATTAAACTTACGTTTTTGTTGTTTGTCATCAATTGCCTCATTGCTTGCGTCATCGTCGTCAACGTCCACATTGGTGTCATCAATATTGTCCTCGGTGTTGTCGTCGTCGTTGTCCTCATCATCGTTGTTGTGCAGTGTTGTTGCATGCAGTTGCAATTTGGCGGCAGCGCTAACGGTATTGCTATAATTTGAATTTGTTGTGGTTGTAGCGGTAATCTTGGGATCTATTTTGGCTGTACTAGTACTAACAATACTACCACTACTACTACTATTATCGCCAGCGCTGACGCTATCGCCAGCGTTCGCTCGCAAAAGTCCTAAATAATATTGTATTTGCTTGCGTAATTCATGCGTGTAAAATTGAAAGAGGTTAGGCTTATGGGTTGTTGTTGTTGTGGTTGGTGGTGGTGGGGCGGGTGTGGGTGCGGGTACCGTAACTGTATGTATTTGTTTTTGTTGTTGTTGAATTTGTGTTACTTTTGCCAGTGTAGTGTGTTGTGTTGATTTTTCGATTGCTTGTTGGGGTTTTTGTAGGATTGGTGTTAGAGTTTCTGTTTCTGTTCCTATATCTGTTTCAAATTCTCTTTGTTCTAGTTTTGTTTCGCTCTCTGCTTGCACTTTTTGCTTTATTCTGCTTTCTTTATGCTCAAATTGTTCACTCCTTTCAACATCCACTTCATCCTTTTTCAACAGTTTATCAATGTCAAGCATTTTTTCATTGCTCTTTAAGCTCTCTTTTATGGCATCACCATTTTCAGTGTTCTCCCCGTTCTTCACATCACTACTATTACCCATATTTTGTCTATCACTACTATTGCTATTACTATTGTGTATACTACCATTGCCACTACTACTACTCGTGCTGCTGCTCACGCTCGTTTTCACCACTACTGTGCCCTGTGGCAATTTTGTGGGTGGTTGTGTCTGCTGTGGCGCCACCACGCCACTTTGCTTGGACGCAACATCAGCATCGTTCGTCGCTGCTGCTCCGGCAAGCGTATTCGCATGCGCTGCTTGTCCCAATAGCTGTTGCCATTGTGGATTTTGTGCTAAGAACCTGGCTAAAAATTCAAAAGTACCAAGTTGCACTTGCCGTGGATTGTTGTTGTGGTGTCGTGAGTGTGTCTCCAAAGTAATTGTTGTGCGTGAGTTCGTCTGTGTTGGTGTGTACGTATTGGTGGTGGTTACAGTTTTTGTTGTTATACGTTTTGGGTCTGAGGAGTCATCAATTTCGCGAGAGGTCTGCGTGTTCGCACGACTGTCCAACACATTCTGCTGATCTTGCCGTTCTTCATTATAAATATGTTCCTCAACATCTTCGTCCTCATTTTCATCTTCATCTTCCTCGCCACTCTTTTCAGAACTTTCCGCGCTGTTGTCACTGTGGTATTGTTGTTTTCATTAAGTGTTTGTTTTTGGATGTGATGTTATAACGGTTGTTGGTGGGTTGGTGGTGGTGGTGGTGGTGGTGTGGCAGAGTTGTTGTTATTTTGTGTAGTTGTTTGTTGGAATTGTTGTTGTGGTTTTTGGGTATGTAAAAATGTCGTTTGATTATTTTTGTGTTAGAAAACAACTTATGTACATACTCCAGGTATGTATGTATTTATGTACATATATACAAAAAATTTACAAACGTAATTTAATAATTTTAAGGGTGTTCTAGTGTGTGTGTATATGTACATAAGTGGAAATGTTGGGTTCCATATACTTAGTATGTATATATGTACATTTTGCATAAATTACGTATACATATTTAGGTTTATTCAAACAATTTTGCTACTAAAAGTGTTCAGTAAATTTGTTTTCTTTTTACAACAAAGCAAAGTAGCACAATTTTGAACTAAAAACAGTTATACAAGCAACCGGGAAACTATTGAAATTGTGTATTACTTAAAAAATATTAGCAAATTTTTTAAAATAAATTTGAAACGGAAAATATACAAAAGTCTTCAAAACAAAATGTTCACACCTGCTGGGTTATCGGATTATCAGGTTATGTGGTTATACTTTTTATTCGATGTAAAAACAAACAACACGCTTTAGAAAAATTATTTTGAACCAGGTAACATAATAACCAGCAAGGTATGAGTCATACATTTAAATTTTGTTGCTTGCAAAAAATTTAAAAATATTTTATTTCTAATAGATACTGACAGCCAAATTTGTACTAAATAATATAGATTTGAAAAACTTCGCTTTAAAAATAACTTAAATTTTTTCATAAAAAAAATTTAGTTTTTAGTGTTAGCAGCCAAATTTATATACATATGTACATTAGAATGGTCCAATTTTCATCATAGAGAAGGGGGCACCCCTTTAATTTTTTTTCCTTTTGATATTTGTAGTATCTATACCAACTTTAAATTTTCTACTGTAACATGTAAAGGGTGCTCAATGACCTTGAAATGCGCTACTAAATCGCTTTGAAAGTGACAAAAATATTGGTGATTTTTATAAAAAGCTACTGTTGCCATATATCAACCAAATACTTCTAAGGTCAAATGTAAAAAATTCATGAGCATTCACTAAATTTCTACTGAGAAACGTTAAGTTTGGTGCCAACAACTCTTTCGTCAAGAGGAAAGATTTTGAACGGTAATCCAAACCCTATCCCGGAATATTTTTTTGGACCACTCTAATGTACATATACGAAAAAAACGCCTTTTGAAAAATTCTATGAAGGCATAATTTTGAAGAAAATTTAAATTTTTTTTAATACACATAATGAACCAAAAATATATACAAAAGATTTGGAAAATTCTCTAGATTTATTATTTTTGAAAAGAATTTCAAATCCATTTTATTTCTTATAAAGAATATAGGAAAACTATTTTTGGGTTACTGCCTTTTAAGAACTTTACAATTGTATGCGTTGATAATCGAAAAAGCGAGTACTTACTTGTATGACCGATAGGCGGGTATAACATTCGAGGGTAGTGGCGTACACCGGCCATCCAAACATTGCTGTGAAAAAGGATACATTTTGTTTTTAATGTTTGCATTCGATTGAAAATCATAAATGACAACACTGCCAAGCATCAAGGGCTTTCTCAACTAACCTAATTTCACAGTGGATTCAAAACTATGGAAGGTTAAGGAAACGAAGGCCGCACACCAACCTCGGACCGTTTCGACGAATGTCGCCAGAACGACCTAGCTTCATATCTTGTCATTGACTCTCACTTCCACATCATTCCTCAAAAACTCTTGGGCAATTTGTATGCTATTACAACAACAAAAACACTTGGTATTAAAGGTTGGCGGAATTTCGTACACGAGGGAGGCAACTGGCAAAGTTTTCTGTTATCTCAAAAGACCTCTAAACGGTTGTAGTGCCAAATTAAAAAAAAAATAGAATAAATTTGACTATCGGAAGAAGGTAAATTCTCTGAAACCAGCGTGGAAGACGAAATTCAAAACGCCGTACTTTAAATCCACGGACGACGACTTCAGAACCATACGACCTAATTATGTTAGGCTGAGGAGCTATTAATTAGTGTCTTGGTGGTTAAGAAGTGTAATGCTGCCTTATGGAATTTGGCACTGCTCTAACATCTGATGTACACCATCATCATCTGCTTGGTTGCAAGTCGTGAAGTACCGTTAGATATTAATTATACTAAACCTCTTGAGCTAACCTCTCTTGAGCCAAGAAGTGAGTTGAGAGCGCAAAGAGTCTATGGTCGAATTCGATGTAATGAGAATCATTAAGACAGACTTTAACAAATTATTTCATTTGTCATTTGAGAAGTGCTAAATTAAATATCTGCATGTATGAAGTATACGGACTGGCTAATTGTATTTAATAGGCATACCATTTTCTAATTAAAAACCCATGTTGGTAATGGTGCGATGTGTGTATAGAGTGGACTAATCGCTTGAACGTAGAGTTTAAATAGGCCTATATAATTTAGACAGAGAAAGATCGAAACCCTAGTAAAGTAACACAAGAATATGAAATGTATTCTGACAAAAAAGGTGGCAACTGTTTTTTAAAAGATTACAAAAGGTTAGAAAATCTGTCGGTAAAAATCATTAGATTTTTTGAAAACAAAAAACCTGTGGGTCAAATCCCAGACTTCCTCAATCAGTTATTTCAACCTTGTTACTCACCAGCCCCGTGCCGCACGTGGAACCCTCCGCTGCCGGCCGATATGCCACACAATAGCCCGTCTGCGCATCGAAGCAGAACAGCTGCGCACAGACACGTTCATCCTTGAAGCACGCATACGTGCCACGATCGCGACGACACTGCGCGTCCAGCGATAGCAGTGTGCCGGGTAGGGCGCGTCCCAGCGCGCTGTCCTCGTGTGGTGCATTATGCAGGCAGGTGGCGGTATCGCCGCTGTAAGCGAAGTAAATTTTTAAAAATTATTTTAAGTATTTATGCCGCATATGTATGACGTGTACTCACTTGAGGAAATGATGGAAACTCTGTATGGTGCATGGTGACCACCGGAAACCACGCTCCGTATGTCTCAGATCGGACATTATGTAGCCATCTTCCCAGCGACAACGTTGCGCACCCGGACCGCCAAGGTAGCTGGGTGGTGGTGAGCCGTCATGCACGGCGCCAAGCCTGTGAGAAAGAAAAATATAGCAAAAGCGTAAAAAATGTGTAGGCAAAATAAATCTAATTGATTTGTGTAGAAGTGTGTGCAGTTACAATGCAATTAACTAAATAAAAAACATTAATTTTTACTTCTTTTTTTTATTTTTCAAAACAGCATTTCTGCAAATGTCACAAGCGACTGCGTAATTTTTTTTTGTCTGATATTTGCTTGCAAAGGAAATGCAAACGAGTTTGTCTGCATATTTACGCGCATGTGTCAATAGTGACAGCGGATATTGCCTTAATGGCGGGGCTGGTCAATTGACTAGAAACGCTGTCAAGTGTTTTTTTTTGCAAGCCTTTAATGTGGAGTTATCAAGCATTTTTTTGCAAATAGCGAATTCTGTGTGAAATCTGTGCCGGCATACAAACTACGCGCGATTTGCAAATTATTTGTTCATCTGGCTATAGATGATAGTTGATCTTATCGCTTCAAATTAAACAAACGCTGTCAAGTGTTTTTTTTTTGCAAGCCTTTAATGTGGAGTTATCAAGCATTTTTTTGCAAATAGCGAATTCTGTGTGAAATCTGTGCCGGCATACAAACTACGCGCGATTTGCAAATTATTTGTTCATCTGGCTATAGATGATAGTTGATCTTATCGCTTCAAATTAAACAAACCTAACGTTAAATTAGCTGATTAAAAATAAACTCCAAAAGTTTAGAGAGCTAATCCATTGGTATTCAAAAGAAATTCATAAATTAACGTTCGATGCAGTCTAGGGGTCATGTAGGAATTTATTTTCTTCTTTTTTCAAAATAAGTCACTTATCACGCAAAGAATCATTTATCCAATAAAATAAGAAATAAATGCAAGTTCAAGATTACTTACAAGTGTCCAACTTCGTGAGCAGCAACAATAATGCCAGAGAAACCGCCAGTATCCTCAATGATGGCAACACTATTGACTTTCTCCAAGCGCTTGTTCACAACGCAGGCACCGCCAACATATGCAAAACCTTTTTTTTCGCATAGTCAAATGCAGCAATGTTTTTGTAGCACCAGAAAAATTTATCCGAAGAGCGAAAAAGAGTGAATACAATTTTGCAATTAGTTTAAATATTTCAGCGCGAAATATTGTAAGCAAGCAAAAGGAAGTTGACAATTTACGCAAAAATCAAACCAAAACCATAAACGCAAAAAAAAGCAAAAAGTCGATCAAATTATACCAGTTTTTATTAGAAACAAATTTAGGCTGCATTTAAAAACATACATACAATACATACCCACAAGCACGAAATCACCACAAAGTGCAAAAACTTTATTAAAAAATGTTGAATGCCTGCAGCTGAAATTTGTTTCTTATTCACCAAAAATAAGCTGGTAATTAAATCTCCAAATATTAGTGCTATGTTTATGAGTATATAAGTGTGTGTGTGTGTGTGTGCATGAAGTGTTATTTGATGTATATGAGGCGTGGCGCAATTATGACATAAAATACGAGTAGAAACACCGATCAGCTAGATCAATTAAAAATGTTTGTTTTTGGTTGTTGTTGTGCAAATGAAAATGTCTTGTAAAATAAGCTGTGAATTTTTCTGATAAGATCAAAGTGATTTTTAAATGTAGTTCATTTTCTAAGCATGCTTTGCCAAAAAATATATGTGCATGTATAAATAATTTTAGTAACATAAATATAGAATTTTGGTTATTAACACCTTCTCACCTTATCACATCTGAACAAGTAGCAGCTTAGTAAAGAGATTTTTAATTTATGTAACAATTTGGGTTAGTTCAGTATTGGAATTAAATATATTCTTTGTATAAGTAAACTTAAAACATTTTTATGCTGTTATATTTAGCAGTTTTATAACTTTCCATTAGACTTTTTCGTCTTCTTTAACACTAAAAGTTTACCAATTTAACTAAACGCCAGCGCTTCAACTTCATCGCCAAAAACTGGTTCTTTTAGTCTTACATGCACATGTACGTACGTATGTATGAACGTGCATAAGAGTAGGTACCCTCCCTCAATTAAATGTTGCATTTTATGAAAATTTTCCGGTATTGCAACGGCAGTAATTTGTTAATCGCTATAATTTGTCTATTTCAGGTTTTTTTTTGTTGTATTTTTTGCTGATGGACGGTTTTTGGTTGTAATTTTCTGTACTATTCGCAATTGTAGTTCAATCCGTGTACAGTGAACTTTTATTCAACATGATTTCGGTAAGGCAATATGAAATTATAAGTGTTTAAAAATGTGTGTCTATGCTACATATTAGTCCCGGATGCTTGAGCATAATTTATAATCCAACCAAAACTAAATAGAGTTTGGTTCTACCTCTCTTTGAAGGTCTGCAGCCTAATATGCCCATACTTTCAATATATAGGTCCTTTTCAGATCTCGGACTTGTCACATTTTATCAAAGAGATGGACAGAAATGATTTCATGTTGGGATTTGGTAAACAATAATTCTTATAAGGTCTGTGGGAAAGTTTCCTAGGCACCTTGATTGAATTTTTCTCTCTGAGTATACTTTCAGGGAAGATGTATCCTAGAGAGCTTTAGAAATGATATATAGTGCCTTAAGCGGTTATAGCACCTTTAGTAAGTATTTCATTACCTACTCAAATGTGCCCCAACTATAAACTTAAAGCACAATTTTTAAAAACAAGCTGCTGGAATTTTCCACAGAAGTTTTGATGAAATCCCCAAAATTGAGTTTAGTATTTCTCAAAAAAGCTTCGATCGTTAAATGATCCAATGCTAAATTTATTTTCAATATGGTTTTAATTTCACACGTCTGTTGTATCATTAAAATTGGAGCTTCTTAAAAATGTTGGTCAGGAAGATTAATAAAACATTTCCACTATATTGAGTGGAAGTTTCGCAGAGGAGTTTTCATTAGGTTTTTGTTTCCTACATATTAATTAATTTGTTGCTTTTCTGCCTTGCCACTTTATGGTATATCAGACTGGCGTAGGACCCTTTCTGAAATTGTTGAGAAAAAGTTTCCCAGATTACTCATCACTATATTTTCCGTTAAGTTGTCCAGCCACTGTAGTGTGGTGGCGCTCAGGCTCAGTATGAAGGCTCTGAATGAGTTTAGAAAGGTAACTTTATAATATTTATCAAGCACAGTAATAGGAAGCTAGTAAAGATAGAGGGGATAATATGGCGTTTTTTTAATCTGAGCAACAAATCTGTCGATCTGCGAAAAAAGGATACATCTAATCAAAAGCATAAAAACATAAAAGACAAAAAAGTTTTTTTTTCTAATAGCGCCCGCCCCTCGGCAGGCAATAGCCAACCTCCGAGCATATTCTGCCATGTAAAATATCTTCTCATAAAAATACGTCCGGGGTCGGCATAAAACTGTAGGTCCCTCTCCTTTTTGTAACAACTTCAAGGTGCACGAAGAAGCTCGGGCAACCACTAACATATGTGTAACCGCCAGTCTATTATTACGATTACTAATGTTTACGAACTATTTTCAAAATAATTTTCGCTGTGACGAAATCTTGAAAACAACTACAGACGCTGATAAGAATGACAGAAATGGTCCTTAGGTTCATTTGGAACTACTCTAAGCTCTTCGGAGGTTTTATAACATTTTGTGGTACAAGGAAAAAGCTCGTTAAGCCAGTTAAGCATGGAAGTGGCTTAAGACGTGTTGATTCTTCTGTTTTGACAGTTATTTTTTCACTTGCTTTTTTGCTTCTTGGCCCTAGCTTGTGAAAGTTAGGAGAGATTAAACTTCTCAGTGAAATTTTCTAGGCCCAAAATTTATAAAGTTTATGAATAAGATCTAAGAAGTAAGATAAAAGTGACGATGGCTATTGTAAGTAAGTACCAACAATTTTTGTATGCCTATTGATATTATTATAAGAGTTATTTACAGGCATTGCGTGCCAGACAGTGCGGAAGAGTTTCGATAGTGCCGAAAAAATTAAAGCAATAAAAAGAAAAAATATACCTGATGGTTTTTATTCGTATGTACATACATACAAATAAGGTAAGTTTAACGTATAAGAAATTTATAAAAAATAGACTTGAAGAAAAGTAAGAAAATAGTATAGCGCAGTGATCACCGATCAGCTGTTATCAGTTGCGCGAATCAAACCCACAATTTATGTAGAATTGCAAGCGCGCATTCACACTCGTTTAGCATATTTACACGTCAAATATAATGAGGAAATATTATTTTTTATATACACACATAAGTAAATATTTTACAAAATAAAATTTAGAAAGAATATCACGTGCTCTCTTATATGTAGTCTAGAGGATAGAATTTGTAGAAGAAACGTGCTTGAGATTTTATTCACAAGAAAATACACACAGATTGAATGATTGGATGTGTGGCGAATATTTATACGATTATGGTATTTTCGTTTTTGTTTAGGACTTTTATTTGGTAATATTATTTGCTCTTCGCTGTTGCTTTTTATTTTTGCATAAATGTATATATGTATATACACTTTGTTTACACTGCATTCAACAAAATTTACCTGCTGTACCACGATTACATTCACCATAAGTTGATGTACGTCTGCACATATCAAGTCTGTGAAGCAAAATGCGTCGATTTTACGTGAAATAATAAATTATTTAATGCAAAATTTGTATAACGTTAATTTAATAAATAAAAGAATAATATTTTCGTGAAAGAGAAAAGTGGAGTTAAACATAGATTATGCAGAGAATTTTTAATGAAATAGAGAGTTCTGTGGCGAGCTGTAATACCAGCTTGTCGTGATTTGAGGTCGCTCACGAACTTTTCGTGACAGTTAAGGATTCATAAACAATTTGCTTTAACCTACACATAATATACGCACCCAAAGGTTTACTCTACGGTGATCGGGGATACCTCTTCTGTCTAAACCTAACAGCTACTTTATATATGTATTTACTTTCTAGAGCATACGATATATGCTTAAAGCATTCGCTTCACACCCTGTATCTTAAGTTACCTACTTTGAAATGAAATGTTTAAGTAATAGAAAATTTACGAAATTCTCTTTACGATACTAGCATTTGATGTGTTATTAGCATGTTGAAAACATTTCAAGTGCTTTATGACGCCAAAAAGTTTCGAAAATTAGAAAAAATTTAAAATAAGTTTACGATATCAGCTTCTTGGTGACCAATATTTGAATAAATAGTCAACATTTCTAGGAAACGTATATGCCTTAAAACTTATTGCATTATAAGCTACATATGCATCTTCAACTCTTATGAAATCTAATACTTCACCAGGCCCAATTTCATACTTATTTAAATACTTATATTTTGCAAGTTAACTTTTCTTCCTTTTTTCTAAAATTTAGTTTTACGATATAAGCTCATACCTTATTTTGTAGCAAGATTTTTTCTATACCCTCAGCTGGTAATTCACTAAGACTACGCATTTATTAAACCAAAGCATTTTTTAAGCAGTAAAATTCCAAAGACATGTAACCAAATAGCGTAAAACCCTTAGCACTAAATTAATCTTCAATTTAAGGTGTTTGTAAAAATGTGTTCTTGTGCGCGTGAGAAACGTTTAAATGTGTAATATGTGCTGGTGTGATAGTTTTTGTCGGAATTCACTTTTTTAATTCACTATTTCATTCCTACCGGTAATGCTAGTTTGTTATTTTTGTGATCGTGTGAAATGTGCTTTGTGTCCAATGAAAAAGGTGTCTTTCATTCTTACGATAAATCCCACAAAAAAGCTTCAAATGCTTTATATGTATAAGTAATCGAAACTTGTTATTTTTCCAAACGTATTAAGTTTTCTAACTAAGTACTTAAGAAACTATTTTTGTAATTGTAAAAACGTATGAGTTTAAATTTTTACCCGCTGTGCCTTTGGTGCAACGACCGCCTTTACGTCTTCGACACATATCATACCTGTATTTCATGTATACATTTGAGTATATGCATGTCGGTTTTTTACGATAAATGAAATAAAGTATAGAGAAGAGTTAAAAAGTAGGGACAATAAAAGAAGATGATTCAAATGATCAGTATTTGAAGATTTGAAGGAAAAATGATAGGTAGGGAAAGGGAAATATAATTAGAAGTTTAAAAAGAAATAAAATTATTGAGAGAAAATATATGATATTTTTTTTTGATATCGTCAGCTGTCAGCAAATGCGCCAATTATATTTTCACACCTGCATTTTCAGCTGCGTTGCGTTGTGATTTTTAAGGATTTTTTTATTGTTTTTGTTTTTGTAACATGCACTACTCACTTTGTTATCGCCACTGCAATATCGTAGACGGGCAAACGTCGCTCACGGAATAAATATTTACCCATATCGGTTAAGGCAGCCGCTGAATCGATGGCATCTCGTCCGACACGATTCCTCTCCAGGTATGGTGTTGCATCTCTTCCCTGTTGTGTTGTCGTCATACGTTTGTTTTGTTATATAAATATGCCAGAAGCAGGCGCAGATATCGAATTTATTGGCAAAATCAAAATGTATGAAAAGAGAGACAAAGAAAAAACACAAATAAGAGATTAAAATGATTATGCAACCAAACAAAAAATAGCACAAAAAAAAAAAAAAATAACGAAGTAACAAAAAAATCCGAATATTACGACCAGCCGTTACGTGTTACGGGCGACTAAGGTGCTGAGTGCCAACGTTTGTGTAGCACGCCAGAAGACGTCATGGGAATCAGGCGACATTTTTTTGTAAGCAAAAGCAGAAATAAATGAAGAAAAAGAAAATAAAAATTTCGCTTTGAAAGCAAAATTAGCTACATATTTCAATTGCTTCGCCAACTGATTTGCCATTAAATGCAGCTAACTTCAATTTGGTGTTCAGTGATTGTACGCTAGCATAGTACTTGATCTAAATAATAGTTCATATATTTTTCAAGTATTACATTAATCTTGTCAATCATAAACTAATTTCTTATAAACCCCGTCAAAGTGTCTAATGAATTCCTTATACGGAAATACATATTTGTTTTCATTTATATAATGCCCTTAGCGTAAGAGCATGACGCTATCGCTACAAAATTAGCATACAATTACTGAAATATATATTGCAAATGTCAATCAAAATGTGAAAACTAAAACGCTAGTCTATATATAAATCATAGCATAAACGCAGCTGTGCCTTTGGCTGAACTAAAACTTTTGCCTCCCTCAAACTGAGCTGTTGGTAATAAATGCACTACAAATTAGCCAACTAAGAAACAGAATGCAACATTCTTATTCCATTAATATATATTCGCTAAAGCAAATGTAGATAAAAAAAATGATATCACATCTTGTGCGGGCGTAATTCTAATCAAATGCAAGCCATGTGCGAGAAATTACAAGTTATACTAACTTTATAAAATACTGATACCAAATGATTGATGTTAAAATAATCTGCGGAGAACAAATGTATTTGGTATAAATATCTGTTCATTGGCATATACATTCATACTTATGTATGTATGTAGATATGTACACATATACAGCGTAGTTTTACAAGAATTTCACAAGAACGATAGCAGTTCGCAATATTCAATACTCGGTAGCCCAAAATTATGGTGGGTCGCGTTTGAAGGCGGACGAGATCCAACGAAAATCGTATCGAATGAAAATGGAGGACTACGCATAGGTTCTGAAGAACCGCCTGGTACTATATTTGTACTTAAAAGTTTTATGCACAGTTGTGCTTTCGGTAGGATAATGTACATCAGGTCAGTTCGTCCAAGTACATCTTTATTTTAGAGTGACCGATAGGCTCTTAGGACTTGAGCTTCCTAGAGGGACTATTATTGAGTCTAAAATGATAATAAACAGTCTGAGTAAAGGACGAGCTAAACAAATGCTGTAAATGAGGAATGATACTGTGCAGAGGAGGAAGACTAGAAGGATGCAGGTGACGAAGATGCGGATCTATCAGAACACCGCATCCAAACCGCAACGATATGGCTTCTGATGTAGTATCACCTACAAAGCGAGGCCTCAGTGCATCCTTCGCACCTATGCATGTATGTACTATCGCAGGAAACAACCGAACAGACAATTGCTGGAAGGATTGCCCCTTTATAGCACATCAGAAGGCATCTCTATGCTACGCTGTATGGAAAGTTTATAAACGACATACATCGAGGGACAATTCGTGAATGTAGTCAACCAACATCTCTCTCGAACGCGAAGAGCTTTTAGCTGCCTCGAAAGACCCGCGGTGTAATGAAGTTATAGATGTTGTATTAAGTTCAATTCCTACATTTCCAAACTCAACCCCGACAATCCCAATAGCCGGCTGGTTATGGTAACCCACCTCACTGAGCTAATACCATTTTTTCCTTTGATCCGACACAATTGCAAAATCACCGAAATGGCCGAACTAGACAAGTCTTAATAGTGAAACTTAAACATTAAGGACAGCGACGATAATACCTTCTGCACCTTTTGATCGAGTGTGGAGAAAGAAACCAACGCGGGTGTCTATAAGGGGAACCTTAAATCATATCGCGGGTCCGACTTCTGTTATGTCTTTCTAGCAGAGATATCTGGACCAAGGAAACTAAGCTAAGCAGTGAAGTATCGCTAGCGTCCCAGAGTCACGTCAACGTCACTTTTTGCTGGGTGTAGCGAACGAAATAGCTGACGAAATGGCCACACATCATTCGGAAGTATACTGAGACGAGTATACCACAGCCGCAAGGGTTCTTACCAACGTCATCACCGAAGCATAATCAATACGAAGGGTTATTTTAGAAATCAATTGTTGGACAAATGAATTGGCCTCGACCGTGGTGGTCTGCAGTAAACACTTATCTGTCATGAAGCATCCTACAAACTATGGCTCGAACTGGCAAAAGGAAAGTAGACTACAAAGTCAAAATGTGGTGTAGCACCTCAGAATTGACAAAGATAGATCCAGTACCCTCATTCGGCTGGAACGCTCTCAACTCTGTATGGTTGTTCGAATCATCACTGGTGGGAATACACGCAAAGGGAAAAGATGTTTCAACAAACAACTTCTATCGACGTTGCTGAGAAGTAGAGTAAACCAAAAGCGTCGAACGGTTATCTGCCACAATTTTGGAATAGCGGCACTCTAGCGGCGAAGGTGCAAGGCATTTTTCGACAGACTTTGAGACTAAATTTCGTCAAAAATCTGTAGTCTACAACGCTTAATGAATACAATTAATCTATTTCTAGGAGTGTGGCAATAAGCCAAAACAAGAGGAGGATAGGAGCCTATTTGTTGGATCAGTTAGATGCTAAGACAGCATAATACTCGACAATAAAGATATAGAAGAATAAAATCTACGAGGAAAATAAAAGGAAGTTCAGTGAGAAGTGAAGAAGAAAGAAAAAATAATAAAAAGCAAATAAACTGCGGAAAAGGGATACAAATTTCTGCAGGGACAGAGAGATATAAAAAGTAGTAGAAGAAACAGAGTACGAAGCAGAGGCAGTTAAAACAGTGATTTCGCGTAAAAAATAAGTGCATAATTTCTCAAGCATGTACTGCACCTGTTACCACAACCTTTTGCTCTTTCCAAACTGCCAATTATTTGCCAAAAATATAACCGAAAAGTAATAAAAACCAAACATAATATGCAATCAAAAGTGAATAACTCACACAAAAAGAAAAGATACACAAATTATTTGCAACTAACGTCAGCTGGATCACGTTTAACCTTTTCGTGGCAACATTTACATGCCACTTAATAGCGAAGGGTAACAACAAGTGAAACTAACAGCAGTTGAAAAAACTAAAAATAATAATAAAACCAACAACATTTAGTAGTTACATTTTGACATACCAAAGAGATGCTAGTTATTATCAGCATAACAGTAAAACTAAAGTCGTTTCAATAAAGAGTAACATCTTCAATACAAAACGGACTGCCGGAACGTGAAGAAAAAACAAAAGCAAATAAACAAACAAACGGCACAACACAGTCGCCATAGCAATTTACTTACCTTTAAAATCGAATATTAGTGGCATTATGCAATGCAAATGTTAACATTTACAACAGCATACCAAAACAGACAAGGCACCGCAGCAATGTATGTAGATTAGGGTGGTCCAAAAAGGCATGTAAAATAGTAAAGTCGGAATTTTTATGTTCTCACGCCCCAGGATTATTCTATATCGAAAAAAGTATATCTCTATAATCTGTTTTAGAGAAACAGAGGGTTCCGATCGAAAAATACTGATTTTCAATAATTCCATACCATTTCCACGAAAACTTCTTTTTTCCCCATACAAAATACATGAAATATTTTTTGATTTCAAAATAAAAATATACGGGAATACTTTTTTCGATATAGAACAATCCTAGGGGGTGAGAGCATTAAAATTCCGATTTTACTTATTTTGGACCACCCTAATGTAGATACATTGCTGGTATTGGCACGTTGATTGCAGCTGCTGCTGCTGCGGCTGCTGCTGCCGTGTTGTGTCAGCGACGAAATAAACGGCCAGACGATAAAGTGTACAGCAAAAACCAATACGGCCACTGCCGAACTGATGCAGTTTAAAAGCGATTAACAAAGTTGTTATTTAGTAACGGTGGCAGTGGTTGCCGCAGTGCTGTAGAAGGTGAAGAAGCTGATGCAGAAAAAGAAGAATCAGCTGCCACAACAAATGCAGATGCAATGGCCTTACAATTGACTACCAATGCAATTGAATTTTACAGTCGTAGCGATGATCGTTTGCATAGCTGCTAGGTAAACATGAAACGGAAACGAGTTTCCGTTGCAATAGCAGCAGCAGCAGCACCAGCAACAATTGCAGTTATGCGCGCAGCCAAGGAAAACGTAAACAAAGCCATGCAAAAAATATCCGACGAAAAATGCCTACGCTGTGGCAACAGCTGGTAGAATACTATTACTAGAGTAATTTACTGAAAGTATGCAGTGGCAATGATTTGCGGAAACGTGATTCGCTTAGCGATTTGTTGTTATTCTTGTTGTTATTGTTGGCAGTGATGCTGCACCGGCAGTGCAATGATTTTGTGCCGTATGGCCATGCATGTATATACATAGTCAGTTGAGGTGTTCAAAATATGCAGTTGTTGCAACATCTGCCTTTGCACTCAACGCAAAACAAAGTCAAAGTCGTTGCAAACGGTAGAGAATCAGCCGCAAGTGCGCTCTGCTGTATAAATTTTATTTTTATAGATTAAATACTTCAATGCGAGTAAGTGTGCACCAGTTTCTATTCACTTGAAATTGAAATTCGAATGCAAATGCATTGCCATTGAAGGTGAGCACTTGAGACACAAAAATGTTGCAAGTACTTACCTTTGATGAAGAAGAAGTGCGGTGGAATGCTTAAAATGCACAAGCGAGTAAGTGGCAGACACTTAAAATATTTAGTGTAATTTGTAGTGAAAAATGTATGCGATAAAAAGGGTCTTTTGCAG